TGCCCAACCTTCCTTCCGAGGAGTGGCTGGTGGGTTTGAACCGCCAGCCTTCTGGTTAGCAGTCAAGTGCTTTAGCCACTATGCTACCAGAGCTCCTAATGTTAACACTACTCAAACATAAATAAGAAGGAAACCCACAGCCAATCATAAAGAACTTGACAACACTAGTCTTCTTTCAGTTCCTCAAGTATCCCAGCTGTTCTCACTCAGCCCCTTGCCCTTGCCTTTCCTTATCCTGGAATGTCCCCTTGCATCTTTTCACATTTTTTACCTCTTCTCTTCCTTCAAAAGGACCTCTGGTGGCACAGTGGTTAAAGCATTCAGCTGCTAACCAAAAGGTTAGTGGTTCAAACCCACCAGCTGCTCTGTGGGAGAAAGATGAGGCAGTCTGCTTCTGTAAAGATTTACAGCCTTGGAAACCCAATGGGGCAGATCAACTCTGTCCTATAGAGTCTCTGTGAGTCAGAACTGAGTTGGTACTGTGGGTTTCTCTTCCTTCATATCTCAGCACAAATATCACCTACTTGGAATAGTGAGCTTCCCAGCCTATGGCAGTGGGTGAATAGATATTTAATGAGTGAATTATGACATTGAGTGATAGCTCTCTATCAGCCTGAATAATTTAGAGATGGTCCTATGTTTGTATCATTAGTCATGTGTACACCCAAGATGCATTTTTACTATTTACTATGCATCTTCTGCTAACTGCTTCTTTCAATATACTTTATACTCCTCCTCACTCTCTTCCCACCATTGCACAAATTTACTGACGCTCCAGTGTGTGTTTTACAAAACGATACTCTTTTATTAGTACCAGCAGGAGTGGCCTGCATGGGGTAGTGGGTGTGCTGGGCTCAGGGTGTGTGTGGGCTGTGAGCAGTAGCTGGATGGAGACTGGGAGGCTGGAAGGAAGGAGGCTGGGCTCAGAGGCCAGACTCAAGGGCTCCTCAGGTTTGCTAGTGGAGATGTTTAATGAAAGACTCATGGCAAGCCTGGGCAAGGCCGCCAATAAGATTAAGAAATTCTTGGAAATCGAGCTTCCCGTCAGAGTTGAGGTCCAGTTTCTTCATCATGCGGTCAAGGACACCAGGGTCCTTCTGGTTCTGCAAAGATAGTAATAATAGTTCTAATACCTTCATATATTTTATTTTCTAAGATGTGTTCAATGTGTTGCCACTTTTTATTCTCACAAGAATATAAGGTTCAAGGTTGTTGTTGTTGTTATTTGCCATAGAGTCGGCCCCGACTCCTAGCGACCCCTCCTTGGGTTTCTGAGGCAGTTATCACTATGGAAGTAGGATTGCCCAACCTTCCTTCCGAGGAGTGGCTGGTGGGTTTGAACCGCCAGCCTCCTGGTTAGCAGTCAAGTGCCTTAGGCACTATGCTACCAGAGCTCCCTATTTCCATTTTCCTCTCCCCCCTCCATGTTTCATTGAAACAGACTGAAAGAGGTGATGTGACTTCGCCAAGGGGCAGACCTAGGACTTGAACTCAAATTTTCTGGCTCCTCGTCCAGGGTTCTTTCTGTGGTATCAGTGGTTATATCACTAAGTTAACTTAGTAAAGTAGTGGGACACTTCTTTCAAGTGTTGTATGGAACTCCAATACATAAAATGTATAAAAGTGGAGTATTTGTGGTGTAATGAGAACACAGTCCCCACCTAATGAGCCTCCCTACCCCCAGCATATTTACAACTGCTTGCCACAGTGGCTATTTATATTTAAATTGATTAAAATAAAAAACTCAGTTCCACAGTTGCAGTAGACACATTTTCAAGTGCTCAGTAACCACATGTAGCTCGAGGGTGCCATATTCGATGGGACAGATGTGGAGCACTTCCATCACTGCAGAAAGTTCTTTTGGACAGGGTTGCCCTAGAACCTCTAGAGTGGAGGAATACAATTAGAAAACTATTCTATTATACTATTTGCCATTTCATATGCCTCTTTCCCTGAGTGGGAAAAATGAATCACCATTGTCTAGGACATTCAGTTTGTACATTTTGGTCTTTAAAATGCATCCTACTTCAAAGAAAAGACTTTTCACTAGTCATCCAGAGCTCAACCTGAGGCTTAAGGACTCAGCCTGGGCTGCTCTATGGACCACGGAGGTTGGAATGTGTAAATAGGAGTCAGGTGAGCGCCATGGCCAGACATGTGCCACTCTTCCTGGAGTGTGGGGAGTTGCTGCTGGTCTTTCATTCCTGGCCCTTCTGCAAGGGCCTGATTTTAGTGTGTGGGTGGTTTGGGGGATCAGGACTGACACCAGTACCTTTGTGAAGGCACTCAGTTCTGTATTCATGAAGTTCAGGAACTCCCTCTTGGAGAGGGTAAGGCTGTTACCATCCTGTCCAGCATACTTCTGGAAAACAGCAATCAGGGACTCAATGCACCGCTCGGTCTCTGTTGGCTTAGAGACTTTTGCCTGTGGAGAGAAAATTCAGGGCTTAGACCAAGGCAAGATGTCAAAGGCTCGATGCTAGAGGACACTCCAGAGAATCTTGACTCCTCGTTTTAGGCCAAATCAGTTTTCTAAAAAAACAAACTCACAGCCATTGAGTTGGGTTCTGACTCATAATGATCCCCCCTGGGTTTCCAAGGCTGTAAATTGTTACAGAAGCAGACTGCCTCATCTTTCTGTGGAATGGCTGGTGGATTTGAACCACAGACCTTTTTTGGTTAACAGCCAAATGCCTTAACCACTATACCACAGGCAAGGTGATTTGTAGGGGATTGAGAAACCCAGGACAGCCACAGAAAACCACTTGTGTGTGAGCTTCCTTTCCAAACCCCTCCTCACAGTTTATTCCAGGTGAAATTTCAGGTGAAATAGAGTTCCAGGTAAATGGGGAACATGAGGGGTATATTTGAAAGCAGTAAAGTAGACATCCTAGATGATGGTGGAGTGGCAGGGTCTATGGATATTTTGAAGATATTTGGATACATATAACCAAAAAAACCAAACTCACTGCCATCGAGTTGTTTCTGACTTATAGCACCTCCCTTTGGATTTCCGAGGCTGTAAATCCTTAAGGAAGTAGATTGCCCAGTCTTCTTTCCACAGAATGGCTGGGGTGTTTGAACCGCCAACCTTCTGGTTATCAGTCAAATGCCTTAGGCACTATGCCACCAGAGCTCCTTTTGGGTACATATATGTATGTACATCTATATAGCCAAAAATCCATACGCACATCATGATTATCTACAGATTAAGTACTTTCCTATTTTCCTAGAGTGTGATGAATGAAATGCCAGGTCTTTTAAAAGCAATACTGAATTCCCTAGACTCATACCTTTTGAAAACTAAAAGCATAGCTATTACTGTGCTTGGGGTGGGGGATATGTCTGAGAACTTTTTGGATGTTCACAAGTGGTTTTCAACAATAAGGTCAACAATTACTTTAAAACAAAGATGAGAATGTTAGGGGGCAAGGAAACTAGATTAATGGAAATGGAACAACCAGACAGAAGTAATGAGAATGTTCATGCATTGTCAAGAATGTAACCAATGTCACAGAACAATTTGTTTAGGAGTTGTTGAATGGCAATCTAAACTGCTGTGAAAAGTTTCTCCCAAAACACAATAAAATATAAAACAAAATAAAAAAACCAAAAATGGCTTTCATACTTGAAAGCTAACAATCATTAATTTTACATGTGATGGAACTGAGGCACTAGAAAAACCACCTTTAAAATCTAGGCCTCGAGATCTCTTTTCTACAGTCCTCAGCCTCTGCTCCTCCCATTTGTAGGTGCCTCTAATTCCCACAGGAATGAATGTGTTTGTGGAGTCTCTCTGGAGGTTACTTCCAACTGGGCCGGTTCATGTGCTCATATGGGGACTATTAGAGAGCTCTGGGAGCTCTGGTAGCATAGTGGCTAAGGCACTTGACTGCTAACCAGAAGGCTGGCGGTTCAAACCCCCCAGCCACTCCTCGGAAGGAAGGTTGGGCAATCCTACTTCCGTAGTGATACTGCCTCGGAAACCCAAGGAGGGGTCGCTATGACTCGATGGCAAATAACAACAACAACAACAACAACAGAGAGCTCTAGTGGTGTAGTGTTTAAGGCATTTGGCTGCTAAGCAAAAGGTCTGGGGTTGGAATTCACCAGCCTATAAAGAAGAAAGATGAGTCAGTTTGCATCCATAAAGATTTATAGCCTTGGAAACACAATGGAGGTCCCTACGAGTCAGAATCGAGTGGATGGCAGTGAGTTTGGTTTTGGTTTGAGGGAGCGCCCAAACATTCTACAGAGCCAAACCACACACTGTGGCTGCATCAGGAGGAGCAGGAGAGTCAAATCCTGTGCTAGACTCTACTTTCGTCACATAATTCTTCAAGGAAATTTTACCGTCCTGAGCCAGCCCATCATTTCAGCAAGGACCTGGGGCCCCAAGAGTGACCAGCTCTTAGGCTCCCCCAGGTGGATAAGAACAGCAACTGCAGACGTTCTGGGACGCTTCCTGCCACACCCTTCCTCCCAGGCTTTAACGCTAGCATTAACAATGATTTATGTTTGGTTGATGATGTTTGCAAGTTCGCATTTATCTTTTGATTTGTTCTTGGGGTGGACTTTGCGGAGCTAAGAGCTAGAGGCGTGCAGGATCCATAATTAACATGTGCTAAGGATTTCATTATTGACCTGAACTCACAGCCACAGAGCTGCTTGCCTCTCTGTAGCTTTAACGCCTGTCTCCTAGGTGCTTTCTAAGCCCACCTAAGATGCCCTCCCCTCTTGGGGTATTCAGAACACCTGATCTGTTCTGGAGGTGCGTCTTTCCCACAACAGTCACAATTGTTGGAATTTTTTTCCCGTAAAGGGAACCTCTTAAGAAAGATAAATTGTTGGAATTTGTACACTTTGTGGGAGAAATAAAATACCACAGCCTAGAAACAGATGTGCTTCGTCGGACTAAAATCGCGCCGTCTCATGTGTCAGACAACAGGAAGAAGGTTGGCTGGGAGGGGGCACCCGAGAGGGCAGAGAAGCTTTGGCTTTGTGACCTTTTCCCAGGCCTGCAGCTGCTTCCCTTGTCCCTTTTCCTGGCAGAACTCAGATTGACTTGATTTTCCAGTTTCAAAGAGGTTTTCTGCTTTACTTTTTCTTCCCTCCCTAACATTAGTCTTGACTGTAATTTAAACTTATTTTTCTCTTGAAAGAGAGCCCCAGTTGTTCAGTAATTGGATGCTAGCCAAAAGGTCAGTGGTTTAAACCCACTGCTTGGTAGGAGAAAGACAAAGCAGTCTGCTTCTTTAAAGATTTATAGCCTTGAAAACCCTGTGGGGCAGTTCTATTCTATCCTATAGGGTCACTGTGCGTCAGAATCAACTGGATTGCAGGTTTTTTTTTTTTTTCTTTTTACCCTCGAAAACTGTTGCAATCAGTCTCTTGGAGAAAATGAAAACCTCCCTGCATTTCCCCCCAGTGCTAATGTGCCAAAGCAAAAGAAAGAAACACAATTCTGAAATTACTGAAATGGAACCGTATAATTTGTAGTGTTCAAGAGAAGTTTGGAATGCTTCCCAAGAAGGCCCAAAGAGGTGAAGGTTTGCCCAAAGTGGAACAGTGACTGAAAGAGAGGAGAACCAGAGTTCCAGATGGGAGTCCAACACTCTTGACAGCTCACAGAATCCTTGGAGCGTAATCTGTGGGAGTCATTAGAGGAAGTAGAAAGCAATCTGATACACGGATGCGGTGAAATAATTTTACAATACATGCTGAGCACCCAACGTCCGAGGAAAACAGAAACAAACAGAAAGCAGAAAACCAAGCCCTCCCTTCCCAAATGTGAAAAAGAAATCATAGTTTTAAAAGAATCAACTATCGCAGTTCTCATTCCCAACCAGTTGCCTTCACTGTCCCCTGTGTCTGTATGGTCATGTCCACCTTCCTCAAGAGCAGTCAGTCTGGTTCCCCACCACTGTGTTAGTGCCAGGCCTGCTTTCTCAAGGTGCCATGAGCAAAGGTTCCCTTTTTGCACGGGAAGGAGAAGCAGAAAAAGTAGGTGGAGATACAGGCACACACACGAAAGCAGGAGTTGGCAAACTCTTTTGATAAAGGGCCAGATGGTTAAGTATTTTAGACTTTGTGGTCCTTATGGTACTTGTCACAGCTTCTGAACTCTGCTGTTGCAGGAGGTAAAGCAGCCATCCGTTAAAAACCCATTGCTGTGGAGACAATTCCAACTCATGGTGACCCTACATGTGACATGGTACAACTGCTTCATGGAGTTTTCTTGGCTGTAGTCTTAATGGGAACAGATTGCCAGGCCTTTCTTCTGTGGTGCTACTGGATGGGTTTGAACCGCCAACCTTGAAGTTAGCAGTGGAGAGAAAACTGTTTGTGCCACCCAGAAATGTTAAAGCAACCACAGACAATACCTAACTGAATGGGCGTGGCTGTGGTTTAATAAAGCTTTATGGATACTTAAGTTTGAGTTTCCTGTGATTTTCATGTGTCACAAAAATTCTTTTTCTGTCCCCTGCCTCCAACCATTTACAAATGTAAACACAATTCTTAGCTCCTGGTGGGGCTGTAGTTTGCTGACCCCTTCACTAAAGAGAGGCAAAACCAAAAACCAAACCCACTGTCATTGCGTCGATTCTGACGCATAGCGACCCCCACTGGGTTTTCGAGGCAGTAAATCTTTACGGAAGTAGATTGCCCAGTCTTGCTTCTGCGGAGTGGCTGGTGGGTTTGAATCACCAGACTTCTGGTTACCAGTCAGATGCCTTAGGCATTGTGCTACCAGAGCTTCTTAAAGAGAAGCAAAGGAGGATGAAAATTTTGAAGGTGGATTAGTGGAAAAGATAGAAAGAAGGTTCGAAGCGGAGCTGAAGGAGCTGAGAGGAGAAAAGCTGGTGATGAAGGAGTGAGTGCTTAAAAAGATGGTGGGATAAAAGGAAAAGAAAGGGAGGCGCTGGGCAGGGACTGGGCCCCTCCCACATTCCTGGCAGTGTTTCTGCTCAGCAAAGAAGGGGTTTAGTTTCAGTCTCTTTGTGTCTTGGCTGTTTGGTTACTTAGTGAAACTCTGATTTTCCCTCAGGACTTAGAGGACTGAGTCTTCTCTTTTTGGTTCACAGAAATTGCTCGTGACGCCTTAGAAGATCCCAACCCCTATCTTTAACTTTTCTCCCAGATCTCTCTGGACTGTGACAGGCAGACTAGTACAGAAGACTAGTACTAGTTGGGGGGGGGGGGCTTCAAGCACAAGCAAGAAATCATTGCAATTCTCCCCATTCCAGGTTGAGTGAGAAGTGTCTTCTCAGTGCCCAGAAACCATGGTGGGGCCTTCACCCCTCACCAGGGAGACTTCAGTGCAAAGTACAGCATAACTGTCACCAGGGCGGGCTCTGCACTTCCTCTTCCCCAACCCTAGATCTTATCTTCATTGGAAAACAAAGAGAAATACCACTTTCCACACTTAGGCTGTTATTACAGGTATAATTTTAGGGCCGCTTCTTTCCATTCCTTCTTTAATTCTCTCCCACGAGATTTATTTGTTCTTCTATTTCCTGCCACATCCACAGATAAATCAAAGATAAAGCCTGGGG